TCGTCAAAATATGTAACAAAAGTGTTGATAACATGATTTTACACAATTGCAGAAGTGAAAAGTCGACTTTACCTGAAAATGTTGGTTTTGATGAGATTTCTTACAAGGCATCGCCACAACGCAACAGAAATCACCTTCGAGTTGAAATTGTGCAGCAAAGAGCATGCACTGTCTGGCTATAAAAATCCAGATTACTTTTGGAAATCGGCATCCGTTTTAAAGGAGTTTCAAGGTCAAATCACTACGCCAAGTCTTGACGCTGCGACAAGGAGCATCGCCATGGAAAGAATACACGCTGGAGATTACCAATTTTCTGTTGCAAGGCGTCTGAATGTTAGTCTGAGCACGATATCACTGCTTGCAGCTCGCTACAACCAAACAGGTATAACAAAATGACCGTCCCCGTACAGGCAGACCTCGAGTCACTACTGCAGCCCAAAATCGGTACATCCGGGTACTACATTTGCGTGATCGTACTGCCACGGGTGAGAGCTAAGCAGCCAGGGTGCCTGGACTCCAGAGGATATCCGGTCAAACTGTACGGAACAGGTTGAGAGAGATTGGACTGAGAGTCAGGAGACCTGATGTCGGGACCATGCTATATGGTCACCATTGCGCTCAACGTCTCCGTTATCTAAAATTATCCACTTCGTTGTATAGACATTACCTTCTTCTAAACTGATGTAAAATTCATTTTTTAAGGTCTATTTGTGGACGAGTTATACATGTTTGAAAATACAACGTTTTCGCAACAGATTTCTGGGTATGCGTTTCTTTTTTGAAATAGTATATATGCACATATATCAAATGTATGGCAAAATTTAAGTTAGAATGTGCGCTAATGTGTTTCTGGTTTGTCATCTTTGAATGCGGTTATATCTTTACTTTACAATCTGCTTTACAGTTACCAGGTCATCTGACTGAAATTTACATAATTTGTTTCGATGCCTGATACCACCTTGACTGTAATTGCTGAGTGACCTTTGACGTCATTATCACAGTTGGTTAACAAAGTTACACTTAATGTCTTCAGATTCATATTTCAGTTACATTTAAGCCAGGATCATTCCGTTAGTGTTAGTCACATGGTTAGTCGTGGAAACAACAATGTCTGAATTCGTGACCCATTTGACATGTGATTCCAACTTTTTCTTCAAATCGAATTATCAGTGTACACACCGAATTACTTGAAAACGAGACTCCTTGCGTTGACATTTTGTATTCCTTACAAGGACTGTCCACGTCTGATCGTATTTCAGATTTTTTTGTAATAGTGTTGTCATGTTGAAGTATTGATGTTTGGGAAGAACAAATAGGCCGACGAACCCTTGTCACACATCATGGCCCATGACAATTTGCGAACAGAGCTTTGTGTTTAACATAATCTTGTCCAGTCACACACCGTTATGTCGAACTTGGATGTGTGGAACGTACGGTTTGCTCTTGTAAACGTTTCTTCCTTACTATGCCTTCGTTATTCGTCATTTTTGGTTGTGTTTTTTCAGATACCTCGTACTGTTAACGTACGGACCTCTAACATGCACAATGTGTTTAACTGTAGTGAAGTATAAACTATTTGTGGCCGGATTAACATTAAATATAAAAACAACTGACATTGTAACAATTACGTTGGAATTGCTCAACGTAGCGTGTACCCTTTTTATAACTCGATACTCATGAGCTAAGCTTGGATTGAACTCTTTGTGTAACAAATATCATGATTTCAGTTTCTCGTTATTTTTGTTTGTTGTTCAAACGACACTTGGTTTTGCTACAGGAACCTCACGCCTCTTTAAGAACTTGTTCTTGAAAACGCGTTGTGTTCTGGTCGTTGGTAAAAGGGGAGTTGATTTCAGAATTCTGTATGTTCATTGAAGAGAGTTGGTACTGTGCCTCATACTCACAATGTTGACAGTTGATTGTAAAAGGGTTCTGTTGACATTATAACACCGACAGCAACGTGTGTGAATAAGTGACACTTGACTTACTTGGAACTGGTGCTGGTTTGCTCTTCAGTGAATATGAATAATAATATGACAGTAACAATGAGAACTGATCTCAAATACAAATTATAGTCATTTATGCAACCGTGTTGTGTGCTGTCGATCTCTTCAAACTTCTCGACTTTATGCCTGTTAATTGATATTTTGGTCTGGAACACTCTACAGATTGTAAACAGAGAGTGTTGGAACACATCATACAGCGTGTTGTGCATGTGTAAACAAGATGAACCCTCTTGGGATGTAATACAGTGTTGTATTTCATCATAAATGTGTATCATTAATTGCAAAATTGTGCGACCAGAACAACGTCCTCTTCAACGTGAATCAATATTGGCCCAAGGAAAAACAAATACTCGTCTCAATATAGAAACCATACACGTGTTGAGACAACTTATGAATAATATATCTTACTAACATGAATGTTGAAACAATTCATCACAACGTCCAAAACATATTGAACTGAAGAAGCATTGGTTTAAACCAATATTCGTGGATATGGAAATAACCACGGATTTTCTGTCACAAAATGTCAAGAAAGCTATTTACCACATGTTTTAAAAGGTCAACATGGATGAGATAGCAAAACATTCAAATCCAAATTTACTTTTTGCAAATTTCGTCGTGAGCAATTCTCCAAGGATGGCAATAAGGAAACTGAATCAATCTTCAAAGCCAATGCATAAATAGTTGGGATTTTCTCGTGTTTAATTAAATCCTGTTGGGTTCAGAACTCCCCGTTGAGAGAGGTTTGAACCACCTCAAAGCAACGAAAGAACGAGGTCAGATCATGACCGTGCAAAATGTATGCATTCTATTTTGGGTCCGCTTGACGCATTTGTTGATTGTTATATTTAAGGCAGTTAATCTACCTGCGACCTTAATTTCTGAGGTGCTATTGCCATAGCAACGAAGTGCCATTGGCATGCTGAGGTGATCTATTATGTTTCATGCTTAATATTTCTTTTCATTGCTCACATATTTTCGTATACGTAAATAACGTGATCATAAAAATTGAGAAAAAACACCATTGAATGTAATGAATTGGAACACGAAGAAAAAAAGCTTTTGTTTACTCATCTTTCAAAAATGACTTCAAACCTATCTTTGGTATTCGATATTAATAGACATCGAAATGACCTTTTTTAATATTGACCTCAATATGATATGATTGTGTATCTTTATACACACAACTGATTCTCATACCATGTCTAGCGTGTCGCAGGGAATATATCTATAAATTGTATCTGACTTATCAAATTGTCCCTATCAGAAATTGGGTTTTATAGTTTCTGAAGTCTTCTAGCATAATTTGGTGTGTACACGCTACAAACTGGCGAACACTCTCCGACAAGCTTTTCACAAACTAAATTCCACCAACTACGAGAACGGCAAATGATCAAACGAAACATTAATTTCAAGTCCGTTGAAACATTGCTTTATACCATTAACCATTAATGCGGCACTTTTGCTTTGATCTGAAAAGTGTAATTAACTAGGTCGTTGATGTACAGTTAGTCTGTCAATGTGAAGTGGCGTAATTCCCCGACAACTGTGTTTGTGCTTTCGCCTAGAGAACAGTATGCAAAGGCAACAGGCAAATGAGGCACATGTGCATATTGACATTGCACATAACACTGCAAAGAAAAACTCCCTTATTTGTGCCCTTGTGTTTCAGCCCAACACTGCCATAGACATTATACGCTTAAGTGTTACTAGGGACGGTCGGGTAGCCTAGTGGTTAAACCATTCGCTCGCCATATCGAAGGCTCGTTTACAATATGTGAAGCCCATTTCTGGTGTCCCAGCCGTGATATTGCTGAATTTTGTTAAAAGCGGTTTAAACCTTACGGACTCACGATTGAAATTTTATCTGTAAATGTGAAACAAATAACACTAGTTCAAGTCACAAAACCACCAGTGTCAATATCTCATTCCTTGCTTGTCATGGCTGATACGGAATAAGACCTAATGATGTCTATCCTATATTTGATGCGGTCCCCTTTCAGTCACGTTTCGAATTGCACACTGATTCTTTAGATTTAAAATAATTTGTTTTAAGTATCAAATCGAGGCTTAACATTTATTAACACAAGAACATATGTGTGAAACCATACTACACCCTGTCTACGATCGCGATCCGTTGTGCGAAGCTTTCCTCAAAGTCATGCACCAGTTGTGTTCAGTGGCGATAGACAAACATCTTTGAAACTACTAACAGCAAAGAAATACTGGCGTTCCAGTTTTCCGTATAGTAGTAGTTGTTTTAATATTAAATACTACGTGTTACAGACGATGAAACACTGAAATAGTCAAGCCAAAACTTTGTGATTTGCGGCCATGATGATTCATCAAATGGTAAGAAGACTATTTATGCGGAAGAGTGCATGCACGTGTCAATTATCTTGGGAACACACACGACTACGTGTGCTGTTTGGCTACTTTTATATTGCTACTTTCACTAGTGCATTTATGCATCTAGGCGGTAAATATAATCTTAACAAATAATACCGCACTGGCAAGGTTTGCACAATGATTTTTTGTTACGTTTTAAAAATGGCTCAGTAACTTTAAACCCATACACAGAGAAATATTGTTTCAGAATTTGGTTAATGCAAGATTTTGGAGCTCGGTAATATGAGTGAGTGAGTGAGTTTAGTTTCACGCCGCACTCAGCAATATTCCAGCTATATGGCGGCTGTCGGGACCAGACAATCCAGTGATCATCACCATGAGCATCGATCTACGCAACTGGGATACGATGACATGTGTCAACCAAGTCAGCGAGCCTGACCACCCGATCCCGCTCAGTAATATGGACAAGGACAGATATATTTTCTTTTGTATTTTTGTGAACCCAGTAATTTCAGTAAATGGACGTACAATATAGATAAAGATTTTAAATGTCAGACAATATGTAAACAGAATTCATGCTATAAATTCACAGGTGTTGATGTAAAACCTAACGACAATGAAAAGAGAAATGTATATGAGTAAGTTAGTTTCTATAAAGAACTTTTACTTCTAAGTGTCAGCAAAAACACAAAGGCAAAGCACTATAACTTAAGGAGTCAATTTCAGGTCTAAGAACTATAAGACATCAACCATATCACAAAATGAGTTTGACATACACACGAATGTGTGTAAGGAAAATATCGATGAACAGGATCCACAGATGCCCTAATACTCCATCAGTCACATGGCTCTGCTAGGTAACACAGACATCTGGCACCTGTCCATGATGCCTTACCCATCCTGTAAGCTTCAGGTTCAGGTTCAGTAGGCTGACCTTTCGTTGTCCTCTTTTCGAAACATGTCCATTTTATTTGTTTCAAGACCTTGACCAAGCCCCAATCGTCCTCAAAGATGGTCACAGATCAGTTACAAGTACCGTCCTTGGAGATGTATCATCATCACTGTCCTCGTAGGATATTGAAGTCAATGTATGGAAGGCTCGTATTGCTACCTTGTTCACATGGTGTTCCCTCTCGAGTCTTTTGTCTGGCATTCCTTTGAAGAAGGTTTCAAGGTTTACCTCCTCCTCCAGCTCCTTCTTCTCCGTCCTGAGGTACTGCACTATCATCACAACCACCCCAAAGGAATAAAACATTAACACTGCAACTATATAGATCACTGCGCCATTATCCGAATTTTCCGTGCCGGGTTTGGTGACGTTCTCCTCTTGATCCTTGTTTTGATTATTGTTTAGTGCAGTCACACAGTTCGGAAACATTGATGCCAGGAGTACTGACACACCGGTGTTGTTTGTCATCTTCATTGGAACAGATTTAATAGGAGCAGGCAAGAGAAAAAAAATTAAGTATTCTTATCGAATACTTTTCTTGTTGAATTTAACAACAAATAAACACTCGAGTATGTCTTCTTCTACACGCGTGTGCTTCCGCTTATGTCGGGTATACACATTAGAAACAGACTATAACTTCCGTGAACATCTGAAAGCAAGGACCCAACAGATTCTGTCTTGACCTTTTGTGGTGACTCCTTAACGAAGTTGCAGTTGTCTGATTGCAGGCAGTGAATTCAAGCGGTGACCGACACTTTGTTGTGGTGTGATAATGTGATTATGATAGGTTAATAGTATCATTGCAGGTTCATTTACTCAAGACAACATTAGGGAGCGTAATGACTCTCATTTCGATCAATATCTTCCCTGGGAGAAACATTACTCAGTATAACTTGTCATACAATGTTGTCCAATGGTTATACTCTTGCAGGAAAAGGATATCTTCTGAGAATAAGCCGAGTTGAACGCTTTGAGAAAGTATTCTTTGAGACTGGTAAAACGTGTCAGACTGCCGATGGGCGTAAATAATTCATTCCGTGAATGCTTGGAATATAACGGTAGTTTCGTTCTTTGTAGTTGTGCTATTGTTTGACGTAGAGCAAAGTCGACTTCGGTCCTCAGTTGTCCTTTGATACTGAAACGAGAAATTAAAGAATGCAGTTCACGGTTAACCAGTCGACAGAGCATCAGAAGGAGCGATCGAAGATTTAGAAGCAACCACAAACCTTTCAAATCGTGCTGTTACAATAGAGACAGGAACTTCTAATTTCCATCATTACAGACACGTGATTTTTATGACTAAAGTAGGCCCGGTAATACCATAGAAGCGAAATGAAATCGGTCATTCGATATTGAATAATACTTTCAATGAGATGGTTGACATTTGCGCTATCTCCCCATTAGGGTTGGATATAGATCACAAATAAATCACACACTTGGACGTAAAAGGACGATTGCAAGGAGGGCTGTCACTTGTGACCTTGTCTCAACAGGTATAAGCTTGAAGGGCAATAAACCTGGAACAGGAACCGGGGAGATTTAAAGTTCAGGGCAATGTGAAGTGACAATTTAGCCAAGAAGGAAACTGATATTTACCGCAGAATTAGATATATTTTGCCATGATTAGGTCTGAGATTATAGTTGCTGCAGCCTAATGGGTTTCGTCTGGTATTCTTTGGCAGAATATAAGAGTCATCATCGAACACCGACAGCAACTGGAGTAGGGTCATGCGTCAGATCGAATCCATGTAGACTTAATGCTCTGTGTGTGGACTAAACTGTGCTCAGCAGAGGTTAATTAGTACAGTGTACTTTTGTCTCAATTGAGTAATCGACCTTGTCAATGGACTTCAATTACAGCCTTGTCTGATAATACTAAGTACTCGTATTGATACTGATGCAACTTGTTCAATACATAACCGTAACAGTGCTCTAATTGACATCGGGCCGGCAGCTAAGCAGTTTCCGTTTTTTACAAAGAGAATCTAAGTGAATTCAAGCGTCATAATTGTGATACTTGTATATCTTTATCGCTATCGTACATGATCTAAATTCATCGTTGGAAACGACATCACTGGCATAAGGGTGGCACTGAATGCAAAATCTATAACTGCAGATTCGACTCCAGATCATTATCTCAAGGTGTGAGCTGGCTTTACAGTGTGCAGCTTTCACCGAGATCGATTACAAATGACATGTTTTTCAACAACACAGACTTACCGCAAGTAATACCACGTCACAAATGTCTGCATGCAACGGTAAAATATATTGCCATTAGACTCGGATGGGATTAATACCCGCTGGCCATCTACCTATATCATGTTGGCTACGTGATTCCATGCGGCTAGCAGATGCACGTATGACCATTAAGATTCATCCTTTGGGCAAATTCTCGAGACTGCATATAAGGTTGAATTTACTAGGATTCTAGCGACAACTCTGCTTACTGCTTGGTCCAGTGTGTGTGTGTTGGGGTGGAGTGGGGGTGGAGAAAGAGGGGGGAGAGAGGGGCTTACTCTCATTTGCTACAAGGACGTAAAGGTCATACGAAGACATGGCGATGAGAATTGCAATGATGTTATGCTGTAAATATCTCATCACAAGATGAAACTACACCAAGTCAACAATATACTCTCAGTCTCTCTTTGTTTCCACGTTCAGCAATAATTCACAAGCAGCTAAAAAACTCACGCAAAAATGAAGTATGGAATAGTACAGCGAGATGCAGGTATGTTATAACATCACTGGTGTTTTGTGAAAGGCAGTTCTGTCTATCGGGGGTAGATATCCGTCTAGGAGTAGAGTAGAGGTAGCACCGTACAGCTGCACTGAGCTATCGACATACCCAGCCAAATGACCAGCTGATGCCCCAACTAGTCTCTTCCGCAGGTGGTGTTATTAAACACTGATGTTATACAGGACAGTGAGGTAATCTCTTCACTCAATAATGGCACCCCTCCACTGATAGAAATAAATGAACATAGCTATAATGTAATACTGTGCCCAACTTATCGCTTCGAGAGTATACATATTGTGCTGACATAATATCTTAGCGTTGACTTTCACGTTTGCGGAAAATGTCGATATACATACACAGTGTTATATTAGTTCATTAGCTTGAAAGTTATATTGTAGTAGAAAAGAGTATCTCATCTTGATGAGAATCCTCAATCATCAAAATACACGGCTTGGTGAGGAATACCCGGGAGAGTCGAGGAAGAGGTACCGGTGGGCTGGGTGTGACGAAGGATCAGGATAGAGTTTGTGGTGGAAGAGAGGATAACGAGAAGTCATCATGAGAATTCAAAAGCAGAAACACTTGGATTGGACGAAATGAGAGGGAAAAGGGTGGGGAGATTAAAAGGCAGCTCGAGTGACGGAGAAGTGAAAAGCGTGTGGGTTTAAAATGTTCAAGCATATTGTATTTATATAGAATAAGAATATGGATAGGGCAGTCAGTCAACAAGATGACATAGTATATGTATTTCTGTAATCAGGTTCTGAAAGTGTCACACCAATGCACTCATTATCACTTCCAAATCACTTACAGGAAGTGTCTGAAATCGAAACAGCTTGAATCGATATCCTAGAGTGAAAGTTAGTGCTTAAACAATGTAGACACTAATGACGGTTTGTCTGGTTGGGCTTATTGATTGAACGTCAAGGTCGATCAGTGGCTAAATAACTCATATCCTGTTGGCCGACCGAACCTCCCAGACAATATCGCCACAAGATAAATAATTAAACTCAACTTCATCATAAAGTGATTGATTCGACTCTCAACGAGAGTACAGCCGATATTTATCAATCACTTCAGTGCATCTCATCATGGCCATAAAACCATCCCTGGTTCTAGCACTGAAATTCAGTTATATTTACCATTAACATCATAAATTGAAAATATGCCCAAAGGATACACCTCAGCCGTGTAATTCCTTCCTGCAGTAACTACAAGCATCAGCATTATTACTTTATCCCTAATCACATTTAAGTCGGTATCAAGCCCAATGACAGTATTTCCTCCAGTATTCCAGTGCCTGCTCTTCCATCACCAGGTACTTTACAGGTTTCAGTTGGAATTACTGAAACCTGTGGCATCTCGCGCTTAATCCGCACAGGGATAACGGCTCTGGTCATTGAAAGTGGGAAGGAAATGCCTCAGTATCGACAGTAATCGTATTAGGAATGAGGTTTATTTATACGCGGTTGTATTCGAACATGATGTTTCGGTTTCAAATGATACTGACATAAAGAGGCAGTGATTCATTTTCCTGTCAACGCTAGACGTGTCCTAATGTAGCAGGCTGGTCCAGCTCTCCAAGTATACTTCTGAATGACATCGTCATCTCTAATATTTACGATGGAAATGTACGCAGTAGGGGTTGGCACCTCGGGTTTCTAAAGTTCCGTAACAACAGTTACTGAAAGGCAAAATCACTTCACTGCATGGAACATGTTATGGACATTTTTGTCTTGACGGTGTATTTGAGATACACCCATAAGAGAAATATTTCCCTTGGTCTGTGTCCAGTTTACGCTGCCATCACATGTAACAGCTGTCCTTACACTGCCAGATAAAGACCTTAACATCGTTAAACATCAAGATACTATTCTGTCCGAGTTTTAATATCTCTTACAATGCTAACTAATAACTCTCCTCTATCCGTACTGTACACGCGTGGTTTGTTTATGTGTGGTTTGTTTGAATAACTGTTTTTCTACAACTCAGAAATGTTCCAATGTATATGCCTACGCTGTTTCAATACTCGACCCTGGAACCAGATTAGCAGGTGAAAAGCGAGCATCAAGCTACAGAACTGGGATGCTATGAAACACATCAAACAAGTCAGCAGCCTGGTCACGCAATCGCCTGTTAGAAGGATGGGTTCCTAACGACCAGTGCTAACCCGGGTCCTTACGGGGAGGTTATGAAAAAAATATAAAAGCAGCCGCTGTATGTGTGAGCACAGTCCAGATCCTCGATGCCTATCGACAAATTATTAATTTAACATCAATGTGTGTGGTATCATTACTCACGTTCCGTCTCAATAATGAAATACAATACATGGACACCTAATCACGCATACTTCAACACGTCACCTGCACATAATTATTAAAGCATAATTGTATCAAGACTCACCCAACGGAAGAATAATATCCAAATATCTACAATACGTTGATGAAGTAAACACAAGAGACTGAGTGATCACTTGGTAGTCACAGAAACAGACGAGCGTCCAATCAAGTCCTTACAAGATACTTTCAAGGCGAAAACCCTCAATATCAATTAGTGTCAGTATCCACCACCTTAAACAATCATTAGCCACATGCTTTGTGTTGTTGGTTACTCAGGCCGAGGTATTGACCAAATGATTTGTATCTTCAAGGCTTTTTTTATCTGTATGATCTTTGATACTTATTCTTGGATTGGTCGAACCAGTGAAGTGTAAATCAATATTCCTCGTCAAAGAACTGCAACTTTGAAACTGGATGACACAAGAAGGGATGGGAAAATCGTGAGAAAGTCGCTGTTCATCAATAGACATGAGCTGTTACATCATAAACACAGCCAAAGATAATTACCTTTGACCAGGATGTGTTGGTGAAAAATGCGGTAATTAAGCAAGGTTACGTTTCAAGGTGTCTCACCTTTCAAGACATCAAGAGTATGTGTTCACCGCCACAATGCGTCCTCTATCTGTTTCGTCTTCGTAGATATAACGAGAGCAACAATTTGGGCTGGCACAATCTTCAAGAATGTGCTAGCACCTGTCTCCATCATATATTCCTATCTGTCACAAGGATCGTTCCAAAGCCAACTAGGAGACAGTGAGTCCTCAGTCGATCGATTGGATCACGGCAGCAAACACCTAGTCAGGCCCACACAACGGCCCGTGATCGCGAAAACCATATGTGTTGAAATCAGTCAAGCCAGATAGTGGAACTTCATCTGACAAGTCAACGCGCCAGAAAGGTGTGGAACAAAGGGGACGAGGAGGCCACTCCTTCCCTACATCTCGGTACATTCATAGCCAGCATCACTGCTACTGTTTCCCTTGGTTAGCTGCTGTCTGATGGGCGGCTTAATGCAGTACATCAAACTCCTAGATTAGGTAGAGCGTTCCATGAAAAGAATCAATAATTACCCGAGCATGTTTATCGAAAATCAAATTGTCCTTTTCAGGATTTGCGTTTCATCATTGTTGCGAATCCAAGTTTGCCCAATTCAACTGAAGGACGGGAGGGGGAGTGCTGGTCTTCTGTGTCTGGTCTTCTAAGTTGAATCGATATATCCCCCATGAGAGCATTGGTAAGAAGGGGATTGCCCTCGTCTTTGTCAGCTGTTCGCTTTTTGTCACTGGGACAAAGTGAAATTTAGTATTCAACTGCAGAGGAAGAATGCAAGATGCATGGGCAGAAGTTGGAGCAGACAGCACTTCGGGTCACCTTCATGTTTTCCTCAGCAAATATCTCAGAAATTATCCTTGGCAATTTGAATAATAATAGTCGCACGTTGGTGACATTCGGGAGGTTGACTTTAAGAGGGTATAAACCAGCATTGACGAAGCTGAAAATATCATCTGACTGGAAATTTAATGGAACTCATGTTTAGAGGATGAGGCCTGAAATATCTTCGATGATGAAGTCGATAAAACCGCCTATACAAAGCTGGCTACTTTCACGGAAGTAAAACTTCTTAAATGCCACGCAGTCAATGTCATCCCTCACTAAAATTGGAAAGTATATTTATGGTAAAACTTGTGTCTGAATTTACTATGAAACGAAGCACAAAAGAATAACTCGTTTCGATTATCCATTGGGCGTTGTTTTTGGTTATGAACACATGTGATGTCACCCGTTGCTGTTATTCTGACAAGAGACAGCAGCACGGAAACAAACCAGACAATCAGGTGATGGACCAGACATCCAGTTGCACAAGAGCAAATTTACTGACACTAATTATAAAACATGATAATGTTGAATTACGTCTGCCATATACAGTTGCAGAGATTAGTTGAAAAACAACGTTTAAAACTAATTTCAATCTGAAACATAGTGTAAGGCAGTTCAATGTGTTTCTTCTTACCTGACTCAGCCTAACTGGTAATTGCTACTGAGTCAAAAATGAATACAATCAACTGCTGCTAAAGATTACCAGACGGCATCTGTGCCTATTCTTATAAAGATCATGCAAAAGGTCATAGACAGGAGAGAAACTAATCTTTCTTCGTGACAGTATGTCCAGAGTGACCGTATCTAGGCAGGCTTGAAGCTCCTATGAACATGAAATCGTCCAATTATGATTGTTGCCTTGTGAACAACACACCCATATGGATTTCACAGTTTCACAGTATCATTTAACGATTAATGAGTGACTGGACCAATATTGGTGCTGGAATGTTTAATATATTCTAAGGTACCCGTGGTTAATTTTTCCCTGAAGCTACATATTACGTAAGTGAAATACCATGAAGTCGTACTTTTGGTGAAGCAATACCTGTTGAACAAAATGTTCTTTACAAAATAATTTGTAGACTCAATCTCTTAATGTATAGTGCAATGATTCCACCTATGAGCATGGTCTTATGAATAACTCTCGCATAGTGGGGGCGGTGGGGTAGCCTAATGGTTAAAGCGTTGGTTCGTCACGCCGAGGACCCGGGTTCGAATCCCCACATGGGCACAATGTGTGAAGCCCATTTCTGGTGTCCCCCGCCGTGATGTTGCTGGAATATTGCTAAAAGCGGCGTAAAACCAAACTCAGTCAGTCAGTCTCGCATAGTGTTTACGAAAAGGTGAACACAGGATACGCTATAGGCATGTAAAGTTCATGTGAACATGTCCTGTGAACATGTCCTGTGCATTGAGCCCAGGTAACAAATCCGTTGGTCGCGCACAGTCCTTGGTTAGGTGATCGTGGTTGGCTCCTGAGAGTTTCTAGGACTTCACCCCTGCCCAACAACGAAGCACACGTGGCACATGTGGTCTCACCATGGGCAAGTGAGTTTTTTTCATGAATTGCCTCTGTTCACCTAGCAGTGAATGGGTACCCGGTGGGATAAGTCCTATGACTGTTTACCTTCTAGCGCCTCACAGGCAGCTTGGGTTATCCGGGGTAGTAATGCGTTAACTAGCGCTTTAAGCATGCACAGGTGCGTGGAAACAGGTGCGTTATAAATAGCCATTATCATATCGTTATTATGTCCCCAACGTGTCTTCCAACAAACATCTTGGAAACCTTAGTAAACTGCGTGAGCGTAGACGTGCATGACTATTGCTCATGCAGTCTGGGTATAAAACAGTGTTGTGCAGCCGGGAGGCCAAGACAGCGAGAACGAAGTACGGGTATGATACTAAATAAGGTCCGCTAAAAAATTGACGTTTTGGCAAGCAGATACACACAGGCAGGTCAGACGTCAGACAGTCCACAAGTTGTCATGGTTAACATCCCATGACAACGGATATCAGTGAACACTGCCTCGGTGTCATCTTGCCCGGACACTGGCGTGATCAGTGGCAGTGGTGTCAGGTCATGGAAAGAACGCATGGAGTATGTAACTGGGAGTGCGGCATCAGAGCATTCGGAACATACCAATGAACAAGGAAGAGAGCGCAGCATTGGAGACTGACATTGATACTAAGACTGAGATTGGCACCGACTGTCCCGCGATGAAAACTGACCAACAAGACAGTCATCTTGCCCACTCTCTCCAGACATCTCTGGGATTTCTTCAGAAATGAACGCAGACGACACCTTCCCATCAACACGCAAGAGTTTACTGAACGACTATATATCTCAATTGACGAGACCTATATGCCAGTGGGAAGTATAATGTGGTGGCAATTGTAGGTACCTGATCATCACAGCCAATGTGGGTTCAATGTGCATTACAAGGCTTCTTAGGTTTACTTAACCATTGACTTACTTAACCAGAGCACCATTGACTGTTCTGGACCCCAAACCATCCCCACCATCCGGCCTCCATACATTCGGCAATCTAAGCTCGTTTTCCTAACAACCCCCAACCCCCACCCCCCCAAACCACAGTCACCTGTCCGACATCGTCATTCCCACATCTAATCAACTCCCCCCCCACATTCTCCCGTCCTCATGCACCTCCCCCTGCTCATCACCCCATGTGGCTTTACATCGCACCACACACGCATGTTAACTGTGGCAAGGATCATGGAGATATTGATTACGACATGAGGCTCCGAGTCAGATGCATTCAAGTGCATTGTTATGTGTGCTATATATATATTACGGATTACATGTAATGCTGTGGGGCGAAACGTGTTTCATACAGGTGTGGTTTAACACAGTAGTGTTGACTGGTTAGGTACTGCGGCAAACAATGGTACACTAGGGCACTGAGGGCGGGATTGGTCATTCTTAACCCATGTATACTGTAACGTACGTATACGTATTACAGCCCCATTCACATCCACACCATCTGCTCACGTGAGTAAATTTGTACGTGTGTACGTATGTATAGTATGACCAGAAATTATTGAGAATTTTAGGAATATGTTTAACTGGATTTCTAGTATAAACAGCCTTGACCAGCTATCAAGTGCTTGGTTTCATTCAAGAGAGACAACTCCGTTAATCCTTTTTCATTAGTTTGTGAAGAGTTATCCCCCTTTGTTACTTGCTAGCAGACGACATTTTCAGTGATCCTCAGTATCGATGATTTAGAGAAGAGGAAGTTGATTTTAGAGTATTATAACAAGGACATCAGATCAGCTAAAGTGATTTCAAGTAGAACAGGCATCCCATTGTCCACTGTTTATCGTGTTTTGAAAAATATTGCAAATGGATATGGCATAGAGCACCAGGGAGGCGCAGGTAGGCCCAGAAAATTGACTGTCGGTGACAGGAGGCGGCTTGGTATTCTTGTTTCTAAAAACAAACGAAGGAGTTTAGAAAACTTATTTGTATATGTAAATGTTACAACATTTTCCATGAAGTTAAGGAGGGTGTTTAATTAAGGTATATACAGAAAGCATCTTTACTAGTTTGTCTGTCAAATGGAAGATGACATGATGAATTGCATGTTTAGACTGTTTCCTATGAAATGAAACAAATGTGTCATAATTTCCTGGCATTATGCTAAGGATTGCGATTTTTACGCATGCTGGCATTTTCTGCTAAGAGTTCACATTACAACATTTGCATGCAGTGCAAAATTACATTTGCGCCTTCTCTATTCCACATGCATTTTGCTCCTGGTGTAAGTATACACATGCGAAATACTAAGCTCGTTCACATCACATGTACTGTGTACATTTACAAATGTATACAAATATACATGTGTACGTATATTGTGCATGTGAATTTGATATTCGGAGGTCTATGATTTTTTTTTTTAAATCAATGCATGAGATCGATTGATATTACAAAATGTACCTACCGTGTGAATGAAATACCATCATATACTCTATGGACTACCTCGATATTTAACTTGTTTAGTCGTTTTAAAGACTGAAAACGAGAACGTATCATTGTACTGTTGACGTGTCTTTACCTTTTCTAGATAAAAATCATTGTTTCGTAACACCATACTCAAATGTTACGAGGTTTGGCTGAGAGTTCTGAACCTAACCACGGAAGGTCTATAGGACTGTCTGAATAGTTTCCATGTATTAAGTGCAATACTGTTCATGCTTAGTGGCTGCATTTGATCGAAACACTCAGCCAGGCTGCAATTGTCTGCCGGCATAAAGGTGACTAGGTATTTTCTGTTGATGGAACACTTGGCTACAGCGTTGTCATAAAGTATCGCCACTTGAAAGGGCTAACTCGAGCAGCCATTCATGCGAACATTGCGTCTATTTTAAGGGATTATACTTGTCATGACAGGGTTGATCAAATGCTGTTGGAATGAACAGGGCTAGACAAAGTCCGAAGGCTTCTGACAACTGATATCTTCTGACTAATGTTCCAGCTTCGTCCTCTCTCGCTGGCATTATCGTCGACCATACTGATGTCGTTGGGCAATTTGTTACCATTAATATGTGTTGAGTTCACCACTGTCAAGCAGAGGATGAAAAAGAGCAACGTAAACATCTAGAGACTCCTCCTCCTCCGAAGGTAAAACTTGTTCCATCAGCTGCTGATGCTAAGTTCGGATCCGGATTTTTGGGAGGATCAAAAGAAATCCAAGGGGTGGACTGCCTCCCGAATGCGCAGGACTGTATATATTTGACCAATAGTATGCAACTCTGCTTTGGCAGCTGCGACATAATATCATGGAAGGTGTGTTGCAAAGCAAGACTTTG